AGAATTAAAATATGAGTAAATACAATAGATTTTCCATCTCCTCTTGGGTTTTCTAAATTACACTTGAAACAAAACTTATAACATTGTCTAATGTGTCTCTCAACATGTAGACAATTATATCAAAAATGGGGGAAGGTAAAGGAACATAAAGGGAGGTTAGGCTTCTACATTTCAAACTAGTAAATGTGAACACCAGCAGGCTGTGGGAAGTTTCATGTATACATAATGCAACATCTAGAGCAACCACTAAAAGCTCTCTATACAAGCAGATACACTCAAAAAAACTAGATAGCCGGGCTGGTGTAGCTCAGCGGTTAGATCGTTGGCCTGTGCACCTGAGGGTCATGTTTGATTTCTGGTCAAGGGCACAAACCTAGGCTTGATCCCTGCCCCCAGTCGGGGCACATGTGGGAGCAACCAATCCATGTCTCTCTCACATCGATTTTGTTCTCTCTCTCCTCTTCCCCCCACTCCCTTCCACTCTCTAAAATTCAATGGAAAAAATATCATCACTCCTCGGGTGAGGATTAAAAAAACACAAAAGAAAACCAAATACTACAAATAAATAAAAATGGCATTCTAAAAAAATGTTCAAGTAAGGCACTTGAAGACAGGAAAAAGAAACAAAAACAAAAACAAACAGAAAACAAAAACTAAAAGCCCTAACAGAGCTACAGGGTGGGCATAGCTACACGGCAGGCTTACAGTTGTTTGTATGGAAAATAATACAATAATTACTAAATAATAATACAAGAATAAACTGTTTTGCATGCTCACAACTGTAAACCTACTTCTGTCCCACCCTGTATAATTGCATTAAATGGAGACAGTTTAAACACACCAATTAAAAGATAGACTGACATCAGAGCAGACATCAGAATGTCAGATAAACTGCAGGGCCAAGAAAATTAGCAGGTATACACATTACATAATAACAACCTGCCAAGACACAGGAATCCTCATTGTGTATGCACTAGATGACAGAACTGCGAACTGTGACGCAAACACCGACAAACTGAACGGAAACAGACAGTCCCACAGTTAGTGTCAGAAAGTTCAACACCACACTCTCAAGTACAACTGTCAAGAATGACTTGACAGGAAGTGGGTAAGAGTAAGAACCAGCCATGAGTGGGCTGAGGCAGTCAGGTTCTTTGTGTTCAGAACGGGAACTGGAAGACAGAGACCAGCCATCCATGCAGGGCTCTGAAACCGAAAAGTCCTGTAACAGGATCACAACTGGGCCCTCGGCAGCTGAGGTCATGAGGCAAGTAGCAGAAACTGTCAGGTCCCGTCTGTGAGAACACCTACTGGGAAAGACTCCCTCTATAAACTAATTTGGGTGGTGAATGGTTTCTGCTTCCTGCAGCCACCAATCTTAACATATGCTTTCAAAAGGGAACTAATAAGGTACCAGATTTCTCTGCATCATAATTTGCTACAGCCCTGTCCCTATCCTCCTGAAGTTTAAGACAGCTATCACCTGAACAACCTAACCCTCATCTCACTTCATCACTCCCCTAGGTCAGTGAGACTAGAGTTGGAAGGGAGGGAAGGAACACGTCTCCACTATGGATGGTGACAAATGAGCCCACTTGTGCAGGACCCAAGCTGTCTACCACAACAACAGCTTCCACCCACAGAGGGTTCCAATGCCAAGTATAGGGACCTGGAATTTATGGATGAGGGAAGGCCCTCTTGAATATAAGTTCATAAATAATCTGGTACTTGGAATTCATTCATTCACTTCTCTTTCAGAGGGAGTGAAGGTATAGGATGTATAAAGGGATCTCAATTTCTCAGGACTAAGGGTTAGGGACCCCATCTACTGACTCTGGCCCAGCCAAGAGTCCTGCCACGACAGCAGCAATCACTGCAGGCCTGGTGACGTAAACTGAAAAGGGTCACATGAAGGCCAAGCCACCATCCCCTCACCTCCTGGGCTAACCTCCACTTCTGGGAGCATCTCTGAACCCCAGCAAGTGCAGAGGAGAACAGACACTGGCAGCAGGCTGCCTGGGTACTAGTCTCACTTCTGCCACTTCCTGTTGTGTGCCTCAGTTTCCTCACCTGTACAAAGGAAATTATAGTACCTACCTCATGGCAAAGGCGCCAGCGAGAATGAATGCAGGCATTACCACAGTATCTTAGCCTTTATTTTCTGAGCCACTTCACTGGGTTGTTATCAGAATCAACATGAGAAGTCAACTGGAAACAAGCTGGAGCGATGCAAAGTTGTTTTTATTTTAATTGTTTTTGCTAATGTAAGAACAGAACCGTTACAGTGGCTCAGTCTATAACCCATCCAGCCCAAGACTGTTCTTGTGGGGGGGCCAAGGATAGACAGGAGGACCTCTCACACAGGGCATCAACATGCCTCTATCATCCAAGAATCTAACCAAAGTCTTCCTGCTCCTTCTATGTCTTGGCCAGTAGTATCCCTGTCTGAGGTTATAGACTCCAGGTCTGCTATGTGATGGGTGGAGGAAAGCTTCCTTTTACATTTCAAGCAGTGTGGCTGAAGACATGTGGAAGTGGGAAACATGACTCTATGGACTTCAACTTCTCTCTGTAGCCTGTCCCTCTGAGGTGAAGAATCTGTGTCCTCACAGCTCCCCTTCTCCAGTCTGGCATTCTTCAGTGTACAACCCAAGCCTCAGGAAATCATCCATGGGAAACACACTAGGATGTACATAAAAGCAGGAAGGTGTGTTGTTCCTCTGGCCCCAGCACACACCAAGTCAGCATTTTCTAGGAGCAGCCCTGCCAGTGCCATTTAGGATGCACTCCTACGTCACAAATGGCTGTTCAGGACCCTTTGTCTGTCCTAAATGATTCCTAAAAGCTTCATAGTCTCACACAGTCCTATTGTCCTCGGGCCTGTTGGTATATTATTCTACCTGTAAAGTTATCAATCCCCTGATCCATGGATGCCTCTTTCAGATTTCATATCTTCTTCAAACTTACTAAATCTTCCTGAATTTCAGAAAGCAGTTACCCACCAGCTGATGCAAGAATACAGAGTCATCCTGTGAGTCACCACTGAGACCAGCTCTGCAGGAGTCAAGGAGGGACAGTACGATGTTTATCCACTCCTATCATACACACACCCCAGATCTGTCTTGTCAGACTCCTGCACACTGTGCAATCCTCCTGGCTGCCACTCGGACGCAAAAGTGACACTCCTGAATTGAATGCAGGTGGCCTGGGTTGGATATACGCTGCACATGGGTCAGGCCCCCGGACCACAGTTTCAGCCATGGCATGCTGTGGGCCCTCCCTGCCTACAGATACTGAACAGAGTCCCATTGGGTTGCCTGACTCATCACTGTAGCTGGAAACATTCTAGAGTATGGAAGGAAAGGGAGGCTGCTGTGGATGACTGATTCTAAGCCAAATCTAAAACTACCTTTGCACAAAAGTATTGTGAGGAGGGAAGAAGGGACTCTCAGCTCCATCTTCAGCGATTACTTGTCCAGGAATCTCCCCTTCCTGGGCTCAGGCTGGTACCAAGAGCCCTGCACAGTAGCATCAGCATCAATGATTTTCCCACTTCTCAGCACAAAGGCAAGTCACATGGGATAGAAACAGATACACTGAAGCATGGCCTTCATAGTCTTGATGCCTAAGCTTTCTGGGACGGCCCAGATGTTTCACCTCCAAGCACTAGAGAGACAGATTTGGAGGGTGAGGCTTTCTTCCCCAACCCTGCAAATTCTTCTCATCTCCAGTTGATCAGCAGTTCCTTAGGTACTAGAGGCAAAGCCTCAAGCCCGAATCCTTTTCACCGCAGGACTTACTGACACATCCTTGAAGCTACTTCATTTGCTGTTCGTTGTTCTTCTTCGACCTTTCTGGACCGGAAGGCTTTCTGCATATAGGAACTGCCCAAGCCATGATAAAGAAAAGAAAGGGGCCAGATTTTGTCTCCTAGCAACTGCTGCTCTCCACATGTACAGTGGCCCAAGGGGCTGAGAGATGACAGCCCAGTTCTCTCTGCCCTCTCACGGACTTGAAGTTAGGTATTCTGTCTCAGCAGGTGACTCTGATGTGGCTCCTAAGAGGCAGTTGCATGGGCAGCACTCTCCCATGCTGCTAGTGAAGCAGCAGCAATGTCCAGAACAAGCCCTTTCAATACTGACCAGTTGGTTGGTGGGCCAGGATGACCCTGGTCCTCAGCAAAGGGCTCGAAACCTGAACTCCCGCAGCCCTGGACCACATAGACATCTCCTCCCAACTTGGCACAGGGGCAGTACAGACTTCCATAAGGAGCTCCTTCATGAAATGCAGTAAGCAGTCCAACACTGCTGCTTAGAACAAGTCCCAGCTAGTGCTGGTGATCCGTGAATGGCCAGACCTGCTGAGGAGCCTGCAGATTCTGGGAACCAGATCTGTAGATGCTGGAGGACGATGCTCCCCTTGCTGGCACGATATCACTTAGCCTAACAGTTTCACAGGACCCAGAGGCCCAACCCCGAAGACAGCTCGCAGGGAGGCAATAGAGTGTTTTAAAGAGGTCTTCAGACAAGTGGACAGCTCAGCAGGACAGCACATGTGCCCAGGTTCACTGCAGCAGCCATCACCAACCTGGTAAAGGAGGACCATCACACAGCATCTTCAGGGAGCTGGAGGCAGGCGCTATGGCAGGAGAGGTAGTGAACAAGGGTCAGAACTTTGCCAGGTTAACACATCTGGATCCTCTGGCCCCTCAGCCCTCTCCTGAGACTTTATACCAAAGTGATTCTCAATAGGGAAGAAGCTGGGTGCTCGGGACATGCATTCTAGCAGCCAGTGGTTCACAGAACATGGACGATGCCCTCAGAGACCCCGCCACGTTCTAGGGCCAGTGACCATGCTCTCTGAGCCTCCTTTCCTCATCTGTACAATGACAGCACCCACTCCCCAGGTGCTTGTGAAGTTAAGTGAGACAATCCGCATAAAGCACCCAGAGTGTAATACCTGTTTAACTACAAAGATAAGCTCTTATTACACCATGAGGACAGGAAAAAAATGCAGGAAAAGGAACCAGGTGAATGTTAAGGGTGACACTGCTAAAGGGAAGTTTTCCATACTTGTTCTGACTAATCATCTTTTAGGTCTCTCTGTGTTTTAGGTGTTGTGGAGGGTGCCCTGAATTGTTGAGCCCTGCAGCTCAGGAAGAATGAAGCAAGGTGGCCTTTTCTTACCAAGGCCTCCCACTTCTCTAGACTTCACCTTTGGAAAAGCAGTGAAGAGGGGAGGATGGGGGGCGCAAGAGAGGAGGAATGAGGAAGGTCTGATAGTCAAAACTGGAGAGGATGAGCCTCCCAAGTGCTCACCCGGCCCAGAGGTGGCTGTGCACAGATGCTGCCTGTCTTGGTTAGGAATACACCTGGAAATGGCCAACTCCCCAGGGGTTGCCACAGGGTCACAATGTGGCCAGAGAGGTATGGTGGGAAAGGGGGGGGGGCCGGACACACCCCATAACCACAGACAAGGACTCAGATGCAGGCACAGCAGTCTCTGTCCCCACTTCCCCCTTCAGCTTCTCAGCTGTGAGGAGTACACAACAGTCCAGCTCAGTGAAGGAAACATACTGCAAGAACCCATCAGTGCCAGAAACAAAACAGATGATTTGTGCTTGAACAGACCTTAGAGAAGTCTAGCTGGTGCTCACAACTACTTTTTAAAAAAACTCATTCTATCCATAAATATTGCAGTATGTAACCCAAAAACAGAAAAGGGTTATTTTTTTCAAACTTTTAAACACCATCATCACATGTAAAAAGGTTAATAATTCCTTAATATCAACAATTACCCAGTGTTCAAATTTCCAAATGTCTTATAAATGTCGTAAATGGGTGGTTTGTTTCTCGACCCTTAAAAATTCATCTTCTAAAGCCTGAGGAGATTCTGAGACAAAGCCTGCTAATCCCACCAGCACAACAGTCACCACCTCACTAGACTAGACGAGAAGACCAAAGCTCAGAGAGGTTGGCTGATTTGCCCAGGCTCACACAGCTTGTTTAAGACAGCGGGCTGTCCACAGCCCAGTTCTTTCCATGGTATCATACTGTCTGGCAGTCTGAACACTATCAGGTAACTGTTAGAAGCTTTCAAGTCAGCAAGTCTGAATCTAATAATACCTCCTTTGTAAGAAAAGAATCGCCATCAGAACCCTCCTAGTAATTACACACCCATTTTACTGAGATAAAAACTAAGCTCTCAGTTAATTCCCTCAGGTAGAAGTCAGATGTTATCTTTATTCTGTGCTTCCATTTAGCCAGGAAGAGGGTTCCCAAAGACTCTTAATCTCATCTCCATATCAACTAGCTCCCCAGGCCACAGCAAGCCCAAAGGACCACCTAACAGAGAGGAGGGCATCATGTGGTGGGGACCTGGTTCTAGTTGTGCCTCTATGTGGCATCAGCAAAGGTTAGAACTACCTGAAAACAGGTCCAACTGTTTAGAGTCATTTCCATCAGACCATCAAGGAACTGGTCATTTCTGTGCTATAGAAATGTTTTGAAATATGAGAAAAACATAAAAATACTTTTCACTTCATTCTATAAGGACAGAATTAGTACCTTTATACAACTGGACAAGGAAAGCACACACACAAAAACAGGGGTGATTAAAAGAAAACTATAGGTCAATCTCACTAATAAACACAGAGGCCAAACCTCTAAGTAAAATAAAAACAAGTCAGAAGAGTGCTTTTCCTCTGTAAGCTTGGCTTCTTTCCTTCTATTGTGTTTTGTTCCTTTTTGATAGGGTCTTCTTTCCTATATGTGCAAAATAAAAATAAATTTGGGCATGTGTAAAGAAAGAGAATAGGACATACTGGGCAAACTCCTAAATCTGAAATTTAGATAGTTCAATATTAGGAAATCTATTAAAGTAATTCATCATTTTAACTAATTACAAGGAACTATTTATGCTCATTCATCTCATTTGATTCCAAAAGGGAAATGGGCAAAATTCGCAACCCATTATTTATCAAGGGAAAGGAAAAGGATAATGATGATATGAGCAAACTAGAAACACCACTGACACTTCCTCTGCTGGGGGCCCTGCATCACCAGACACAGCAGAAAGCCAGGGCATAGCAGACGCTCCATGGTATAGAACAGGCCCGCGTGTGCACCGCAATCTAGAATGTGAGAGCAGCAGATGTCAAATGAATGAAGGATGAATGGACTCATCTACAGTTAGATCCTTATCTCACTTAGCATATGAAAATAAATTCCAAAATAAATAAATAAATTCCAAGTGGACTGAAAAACTAAAGGTAAACAAACAAACATTATAAGAAAACACAGCTTCAGTATGGGACGAAGTAAAAGTTATAGAGCTGGATGGTGGTGATGGCTGCACAATAATGTGAGTGTGCTTTATGCCACTGAATTGTAAGCCTAAAAATGGGTAAAAATGGTAACTTATGTCTATTTTACAACAATTCTAAAAATATAAAAAAGAAGAAAATGAAAAAAGATTATACTCTTGCAATGGGAAGAGCATAAAGGAAAAGATCTGAAGACTTTACCATATAAAAATTTTTAATGTCTGTATGATAAAAGATCCAGAAACAAAAATTAAAGACATGCACTTAATAGTTCAATAGAAAGAAAAAAGCAAAAAAAAAGCAACTGACTAGAATAAAGTATGTGCAATTTGTATAATAAAGGATTAACATCAGAATATACAAAGCTGCTATGAAATAAACAGACGTAGAATATAACCGGCAATTCATAAAAGACATACAACTTCATAAATAATCAGGAAAATGCACATTAAAACAATTTCACTTTTCACTTATCATCGATAAAATTAAAAATACTGATTTCCACAATTGACAATGGTATAAACAAACAGATATTCTCATCACTGTGACTTGACTTATATCAGCAAAACCTCATGAAGAACAATCAGCAGCTGCCAGGTGGTAGATGCACATACCCTCCACTCACTGGTCTCCAGCCTGTAGAAACCTCCGGGAGGTAAACAAAAATCATGACGAGGGTGTCCACTGCACCATTATTTATGATATCGAAAAACAAAACATAACCCAACTCTCTATCAGGAAGTGGTAAAACTCGCTTTCTTACATTCCCCTTGTTAGGGAGCCACTGACAAGACATAGGTAGTCTTCCTGTAACACATCATGTGTTTTATAAACAAAGGCTAGTTACACAAGTCCATATTTTGTGATCTCATTTTTGTCAAAAAGTAAAATAAAATGATATACTTGGTATAGGAAGAAAAATCTAGAAGGATGCATATCAAGCTACCAACAGTGGATATCATCTCTGGGAGTGGTATCATTGGAAATTTACACTTTCTGAGTTATATTACTTCTGTAATGTTTGAATTATTGAAAATAAGCACAATCACTTTTGTAACTGAAAAAATAATAAAATAATGAGAACAACTCCACCTCTCTGCAGAATGGCAGGGGGCTGGCTATGATCCCAGTGGGTGCTGGGAACAACCCCTGTGCAGAGGAGCTTCTGGTCCAGTCAGGAACTGTCCCCTGCCAATCGTGCCCAGCCCCCAGCCCGAGGCAAAGCTGGTATTGGGAATGTCAGGCCCAGGGCCAGCTTCTGCCATGGCAGCCGGCACAGCACCGTTCCTGCATGGAAGGCCTTGATTGAAAAGGTGGGCACTGAAGGAAAGCACACTCCACACTGGGTACAAGCAACTGTTCTCTTTAATCTCTGGCCTTTGGGTGGCTCTCAGATCACCATTTAAGATTAGAAACATTTCACTGGAAAAGATCATAAAAGAAATCAGATCAGCTGAGAGGAATTGAAGGTGACTCCTGGGTAAGAGCTATAAAAAACCTTGTTGTGCCCAAAAAAGATGGCAATGAGTGCCCAGATCTGGAAGGGCATGATGCCGGAAAGCCTGTGCCACAACTTCTGCATGATAAACTTGAGTGGAGAGGAGAAAAGGAATGGAGAGGGAGAGTAAACCAACACACGAAACACCAGGCCCTGCGACACACGGGAACACTATGTGTTTAAACTTACAACAGACCAGAGAGTGTGACAGGAAAGGAGGCCCAAAGAGGTCCATGACTTGCTTAAAGTTCCAGAGCTACAAACCCTGATTTGAACCTGATCTGCCTGCAAGCCCAGTGCATTGAAATTTCCCAATGCTGGAGCCTCTCTCCTCCACCTTCCCAGGCAGACCCACCTGTGAGTTGGAGTGGCACTCCTCAGATGGGGCTGCTCCTGGGCCCATGGGGCTCAGCGTGGTGATTCGGCTTGGTTGCCCTCGGAGGGTCAGAGTAATGGTGGTAGGGACCTTCAAACCTGAGAGAGAAAGAAAGGTAGGTTTTTTGGTCACATCCCCACTTTCCTTTCCCGAAGAGTTTCTCCACATAACACACCTCCCTCGGTCCCCCACTTTGGCCTCTTCCCCAGCTGGGTCATCTATGTCCTATCAGTCATTCTGAAGGACAACAGAAAACAGCCTGTGTTCTCTCAATCTCTCTGGGGGATGGACCCCCACAGATGAATCCCTGAGGGTCAATGCCAAGACCCTGGTTGAGTTCAACAGCATACCTTGCCCATGTGAGATGACAAGGTCCTAGGGGAAGATCCCATGTCTGGGAGTCCCCAGGGTTCTCAAGAAAGACTCACCTGATGCTTGGTTAGAGATCTGAGCCAGGCCAGGGAGGCTGCTTGCCAACTTGGCGAGGCCCCCATTGGTCAGCAGCTGGTGGATGGCTGTAGGCTTCCCACCAGGAGTGGCACCCAAGGAGGAGAGAGTGGTGGCCACAGGAATGGTACGAACAATGGTGCTGGTGCCCGTGGTGATGGCACCCAGGCTCTGTATTGGGGTGGGCAACTTCACACTGGTGGCCTGTGGGACACACAAGCCCAGGTGATCAGAAGCTATTGCCCAACAGCCACATTCGAGTGTGGCAGGCCCACAGCATGTTATCAAAGGCTGCCATGTACTCAGTGCCCACCACATGCAGGGTTCCCTCCAGGCATTCCACACACAGTATCTATTTAGTCCTCAAAACAGCTCTGTGAGGGAGGGACTATTATCCTCATTTTACAGACAAGGAAACAAAGAGAGACGTCAAGAAACCTGCCCAGTGTCACACAGTAAGTGATAGAACCTTAACCTTTGATAGCTCCTACCTGGGAAGTCAGAGGCTGTCTGTCCTTGACCCAGTCTCCCTACCAAAACCAACCAAGCTGAGGAAGCCACCTCCCCACACCTGCCCCGCCCAGAGGAAGGCACCTGCGGGGATGGTCCCGGGGAGGGATTTGCTGGGAGACCAGAGGTCTTGCTGCTGATATCCTGCAAGCTGAAGCTGAGGCCTTGGAGGAGGCTGCTGGCTGATGTGGCCCCTAGGAGATGATATGACAGGCATCAGCATAAGGTCCACCACTTATGTGACAGCAGTCATGCCCATCCACCCTCAACAACCCAGTCAACACTGTGCGTGCTCTTTCCCGCGGACATTCCAAGCTCTCAGAGGAGGCCCACAGGGCTCCCAGCACACCCGGTGAACGTCCACGTGAGGAAGGGTCTATGCAGATTCCTTCGATTCCTTCTACATGTCCCAACTGCTCCAAACCACCCATTCTACATTTTGGACAGTTTTAGGAAAACCAGAAAGAGCGTGAATACCACTTTTCAGAACTCTAAATTCCCTCACTTCTTTCTAGGGAAGAGAAAGGACTTTTTCTTAAGAATTTAATCTTCACCCGATGACATAGAGAGAGGAAGGGAGGAAGGGAGAGAGGGAGAAAGGGAGAGAGAGCAAGAGAACGAGAGAGAGAGACAGAGAGAGAGAGAAAGAGAAAGAAACATCAATGTGAGGGAGAAACATCCATCAGGTGCCTTCCATATGCACTGACTGGGGATCGAACCTGCAACCCAGGTATGTGTCCTGACCCAAAATCAAACCGGGAGCCTTTTGGTGCATGAGACGATGCTCAACCAACTGAGCCACTCCAGCTAGGTGAGAAAGGACTTCTTAAGCCAAAAGAATTCCAAGCACCTGACTTACACCTCACTTTACACACAGCCCAGTGGCCACAAAGCAAAGAGAAAGGTCTCCTTGAAGGAGGGCGCATGGCTTGGCCCTGCTGGGTTCAGGCAACTAGCCTTTCAGTGTCGGGTGGGGGTGGAGAAGGTGAGGAGACATGCACAGGCAGAAATGTCTCATTTACTAATACCCAGCATGGCATCATTTCCAGTTTTATTCAATCTTAAAAACACCAAAATGAAACCTAATACCTATATCTCCCACCAGGAATTTCTCATTACAGTATCGGAGGCATTGCCTACAGACTGGGATGTTTACTCACTGTACATATTAAGGCCAAGATCTTCATGCTCCTTGAAGCTAATTCCAGCTTCTTGTAAAACTTCCCTGACAAGCCCAAGACCTCAAGGAGTATCCTCCAGATTCAGCTCCAGGCTGCTTTCCCAGGACCACCCTCCAACAGCTGCCCAGACTCTGCTGGGAGGTCAGGATGCTGGGCCCAAGATACCTGGGAGGGAGCTGCTAGGAGAGGTGGCCACCAGGCGGCTCTGGAGTGTGTGCAAGGGACTGGGTGTGGCGCTGCTGGAGACCACAGGGGAGGCTGGGCTGGCTGACACACCTGCTTCAGAAGCACTAGACCTGGACACAAAGACAGGAGCTCCATTATCCAAAGGTTGGAGGGGTAGACCCTGGCAACATGGGGAGGGGCCAGACTGGGGCCCAGTAAGGATTCAGCAATGGACCTAAGGCTTGAACATTTGGTTTCTTCATCCCACCTTCTAAATTGGCCACTAGTCCTTCCAGAGTTCAGAAGAACTGAACTCTGAGTTGGCCCAAAAGAAAAACAAAGATCCCACCCAAAAAGAAGTCACATTCCAAAATTGACAGAATCCAGAATTCACCATCTTTCCAAAGCACTAAGTGGACCAGAAAAAAAAGGTGAAGAGGAAGGGAACAGAGCCAGATAGACCACCAAATGGACTTACTTGGTTGTGGTAAGGAGCCCTGTGAGCTCCTTGGCCCCTGTTGACGCCTGCCCCAGTGTCATCATGATGGGCTTCCCTCCCACGGCTGCAAAACAAAACCCCCAGGCTGCCGGTCAGTCCTATTTGGCTCACCTTTCAGATTCCACAGCCAGGCTAAATGCAAGATACTATGGACAAAGACTGGAAGATGAAAAATGCAGAATGATATGAGAGCAGGAAGAGTTGGAGTTATTTTTTTCCCCTTCTGTTTTCTAAACTTCCTGGAATATTTTATTTTTAATTGAGATAAACCAAAAAAACCCCAAATATATGATGCTTTGAGAGTTTCCTCTGATCTTCATCTTGCCATCAGGTCACTTCCCACCTTCCTCATGGGCTACCTGGAGCCCTCTGCTCCAGGCACCACTCATACTGAAGTAGAGGCAGAGCGCCAGCAAGCAGCCCCAAGGGGGCAAAGCTACGTGCCCGAGGAGGGCCCAGTCAGTGTTTACTGGGACAGGTCAAGGGAAACTCACCTTCTGGGGCTCCTCCTTGGGAAGGAGTACAAGGCCCTCCAGTTGGGTCTCCTTGGGAGATGAGGGACACCTTGATCTTGGGTCGCTTAGAGGTCTTACTGCCAGACAGAGGACTGGAGGGATGGTGCCGCTTCAGCTGGACCCTAAGGTCCTCTTTCTCTGCTTCCTCCGTTTGTTCTGATGAAATGGGAACTGAGAGATAGAGCTGGGGTAAGGTCCTCCACAGTCTCACAGACACTGGTAGTCAGAACCAGTACAGGTACAGCTGTGTGTAGGGATACACAGAAGTACCAGCCACGCATGGAGTCACACTTCAAAGACAAGGACGCCTGCATTAGTTCCACCTTGCTCAGCCCCACCTGCGGTGGAACTCCACCTTGCCCCTCAGAGAACGGCACCATGCCCATCCCTCACTCTGTCCTGGAGTTGGAAAGAAGGGGGCTCTGAGTTGGGAAAAGGAAGGAGAAGACACCCTGACCTTTCCTAGCAAAGGCCAGCCAAAACACAGAGGCCTCACCACAGTGGATCTAAGGGGCCTCATCACGGTGGATCTAAATGGTGCTTCCCAGACTCAAAAAATGTAATCATTTTCCTGTTTCAAGCCTGCCCCAGCTGGCACAGCTGGAGGGCAGGAAACATTCTAGGAAGAAGCAATGGAGGGCCAGGCTGCACAGCCTTCCCTACCCGGCAGATTTTCACAGGGCTCTGAGTCCCCCTGCTCTAGGAGCCCAGGGTTGAGGGTTTGCTTGCCACACGGAGGACTGCCACAGGACTTCAGGCTGGCTTTAGGAGCTCCTAGGCAAGGGAGCCTTGCCTAGGCATCTCAGCCAAGATACCTTTATGCCTCCTGTCCCAAAGTAACAGGGTAACAGTGGCCCATGTCACAACCTAGTCCCCAGGTCCCTTGTCCTAGGTACAGAGAAAGAGTACCTGTTCACATATAGGCTTTTCGCTCTACTGAGTCAAACAGATTCATTCTGCACATGGCTAAGCCTGGGTATCGCTCAAGCTTCCTCATAGATCCCCCTCTTTAAACCCAGAGCCCCCCAGCCCCTTGTCTTAGCATAGGCAATCAGGGGTGGGGTGGGGAGAAGGCAGCAGTTACATGAAGGTGGGGGGAGCTGGCATGGGTCACTGTGAGCTATTCCAGACCACAGTCAGGGCATAACCAGCTGGAAGGATTGCTTAGGGGATAAATGTGTCAATTAAAATCTGAATTGGAAAGAGGTTATAAACGGGAAAGGAGCTACAGTCTTATGCTGCTAAGTGGCTCGCAGCGGCCAGGATGGAGGGAGGAAACCACAGGCAGGGAGAAAAACACCCAAGGAAATGCAGGCTCACAGGCAATGGCCACAGGCACTCATGGGAGAAGCAGAGCCAAGAAACACAATAAGAGACAAAAAGAGAAAAACACCATAAGAGGCAAACAGAAAGAAAGGAGAAAAAGCAAAGACAATGGAGTAAGCAAAAGGAGTCCAGGGGGGAAAAAATTGATAGAAAAAGGCAGACAGGAAAGAACAGAAGGAAACCAAACAGGGACAAATGAGAGGCTGGGGCAGGGGAGCGGCAGAGGGAGGAGGTGAGAAAGAGTAATACTCACCAAAGAGACAGGAGGAGGTGCCGGGAGGAAGAGCTTTCCTCACCAGCATATTTTGTTTCAGAAAAGCAGCAAACTGTGCTGGAATGAATCAGAAAGAATTATAGAATCACAGCCAGCCAGTGAAAGGAGAGACAGAGAGGGAGTAAGAAAAAGATATGAAAATGTTCTAGAAAATGGTCAACAGGGGCTTTCTTTGGAATTACTGCTTTCAGCAGCTCCATGGAATCATCTATAAACTGAAAATATAAAAAAATATAAATGCACCTGCCTCATGGGGCTGTTGCCGAGATCACTGAGCCACAGCAAGTCAAGCAGCAGGAAGAGGCCCTAGCACGTAGTAAGGGCTTCATAAACGTTAGCCACCCTCATCCCCTTTGTCTCTGAGTTCAGCCAAAGCAGAAGCTACAGCTGCTGCTCACCATGATACTCTGGGTCCCATTTCAAACCCAGCTCACCAGTCAGCCTTCCAGAACTTCTTAGATTCTCGAGTAATTAATCCCCCCCTCCAGAGGCACTACAGACCACTGGCTCTCTCTTCGACAAAAGTCTAAGTGGATATCACCCACCTAGAACTTGGCTCTGGCCGCCATTTAAGAAGGTCCAGGTCGCAAAGCATCCACATGGACCCTAGGGCCTGGCCTCTTTTCTGCATCATTCATCCACTCACACTTCTGCTCCTTGTCAGCACCACTCTTAAGGACAATTTCCTTAGAGCTCTGGATTTTATGTCCTTACCCTTTGGATTCACTAAAGGAAACATGGGGGAAGTAAGCAGGTCAGCCTCCTGTCACCTCTGCTCTCTCTACTTGACAGCCAGTTCTGGCTGCTGCCTCTTCCCTTAATCTCAGTTGATACGCGCTCCTGGATACATCATCAAACACCAGTGCCCAAGAGACCTTACCACAGGGCCGCTCAACTGGATCAAAGTAGGGGGAGGGTAGAGCCACTGTTTCTCCTTCTCTCCCTACCCAGTGAACCCTCCCTTCCCTAGAGCTTACATAGCACTCACTGATCTCCAAACTCTAATTTCAATCATACCAGTATTTCCCAGCCTAGTCTAAAACCTATCTGCAGAGACTCCAATAAACCTCACTGAAAGTTCCAGTGTGGAGATCTTAACTCTTCAAGAGCAAAACAAAAAAGGGGCATGACGCCTTTTAGGCTGCCCCAGAATCTGACGAATAAGCCAATCACCCTGCTGGCATGACCTGGAGAGTTCCCTGGTTGCAGGAGTGGCTGGGCAGGGCCTGAAACAGAAGCTGTAGCTCCCCCAATTGGGAGTTAGAAAAGCATTTGGGGCCAGTATACGTGTAGTCAGCTCACACAGCCTAACTGTCCAGAACACCAAGGCAAAGCTGTAACCAGTGGGATGATGCAGCCCCTACACACAGACCCGAGTGATGTTTCACCCAGAAAATAGCCCTCGGTATTCCTTTCGCCCTATTTTTGCCTGGACAGAAACGTGGGAATAGTGCCTCTCAAATGCCCCTGGAAAAAGCTGCAGATGCCAATACTTTCCAACTGCCATCTGCCGTCAACTGCAGAGCACAGAACTTGAGAGAGGCCACAGGGCCAGGCACTGGTACCTTGGGCTTGTTTGTGGGCCAGCACAGCTTCTGTCCGCTGCACGTGTCTCTTTAGCAGCTGAGAGCTCCCAATCTGACTGGACTTCTGGGCAGAGGCCACTGGGGTCACCTTGGTCTTAGGACTGGAGGTGGGGCTGCTGGACACACTGGAGAGATCCTGGGCAGGGTGAGAAGGACAGGAGCTGAGCCAGTTGTCTGGGTTTGACCACCAATCAGCATGTCCCTTAGAATTCCCTGGTCAGGAATTCTCCCCGTGGGAACTCACAGGCCTACAGCACTGCCCCAGCACACAGGTGACCCTAAGAAGCCAAAATGTCAGCTCTGTGGTCCTCATTCCCCAGCAAAAGTGCCCCTTCTCTTTCCGCATTACCTCAGAGCCTGAAGGGGAGGCAGGCAGCCTGGCAGCTGGTGAGGCGGGTCGACTGCCCCTCTCAGGGACCTCAAAGGCCAGGTCCCTGCGGGCCACATCCCGGGGCTTCTTCTTCTTCTCAGCATCCTGGTCCCGAGGCTCAGCACCCATGTGCCCCTCAGCGCGAGTAAGCACACCAGTCAGGAAGTCCACAATCTCATCCTGGTGTAAAGAGAGGCCAATGCAGAGTCTTCAGCTGTGGAATATGAACTTTCCCAATAGTTCCAACTAAAACTGATTACCTTGGCTTTGGCATCGGAGGTGCCAGTCCCTCGCCATGTGCACAAAACCTGGCACAAACCCCAGCCTCAGCCAGAGGCCAGAGGAACCTCTGTGAGGTGGAGTCCTGGAGTGGCGTGCGCCACCATTCCCCCAGTGAACTCATTCTCCCCTGATGCTTTTCCTATACTTTAGCTCATTACTCTCCCCTCCCCTTCTTTCTTTCTTTCTTTTCTCTTTCTCTTTGCTTATGATTTAGGGCTACCAGAGGCCCCAGGGGATGCTCCTTACCCCTCAGAGACAAAGAGGCTGCTGCTGACAAGACTGAGCCTAAAAGGCTACAGAAGGGAAGCCTCTGAGAAAATATGCAAAGCAACTGTGTACCTGGATGCACCTGTCCACCATGCTCTGGGTCAACCCTTCTGACTTCTTCTTTGCTTTGCTTATCCTGAGAGACAAAGAGAAGGAAATGTTCACTTTCTAAATATTCCATAGCATCAAGTGGAGGTTATTTTCTACACCCAGGAAGGAAGATTATGTTAGCCCTCAGGCAGGTATTGCAACCTCTCTGAACCTCAGTTTCCACATCTGCAAAACAGAGAACCATAATGCCTCACTTACAGAGTTGAGGGATTGCACAAAAGAGCATATGGAAAGTGCTGGAACTGCAAACTCCAGAAGTGCTATACTTATGGCCTCATGAACCTCACAAGTCCCCCAACACAGGCCCATACCCCAAGAAGTTGTCAAATGACCAAGACCAGAAGGAATTCTCTCAAACATCTCTGGGTAAGAAACTGCCAAGACAGGTGCAAGCAGCTACCCGCTTTAACTCTAGTTAAAGCACACAAATGACTGAATCTCTAAGAGTGAGCATATAAAAAAAGGCGGCCCCATAAATAACACCTCTCTTTCAGTACATTTCATGGAAACATACCTAAAGGCCCTACAGGCAGCTGGCCTTGTAAGGGAGGAAGGGAAGTCTCAATAACTAAAGATGCCTTCATAAAACTCCCAAACTTTGGCTGTTTAAACTCCCAAATATATAAAAAGGGCTTAATACAAATAAAATGTGTTCATACTCATCCTCAGGAAGGAACAAAATGTAAAGAAATGCCTACCCCAGTGAAACCATGATGACAAAGACTATATTTATAGGTTTTCAGAGTATCTTCTCCCCACAAGGTAACTACTAATTACAAAGGGAAAATAGTTACTTCCCGGTGGAGAAACCTGGCAGAGGCCACCTTAACCCATGATCAAGGTTAACATCACCAGAGATAAGACATGTCAATATCGTGTATCTTCTGAAGGGGTGCACTGATGGCACTGCTTCTTCTAAGGCATTGCTGCCAAAAATATATAATATATATCTTCACCCTAATAATTAAAAAATGCCAAAAACTGCCCTGGCTGGTGTGACTCAGTGGTTAGAGCGTCACCCCTCACACCAAAGGGTTTCGGGTTCAATTCCCGGTCAAGGACACATACCTGGGTTGTAAGTTCAATCCCTGACCCTGGTGGGGACATGTGTGGGAGGCAACCAATCAATGTGTCTCTCTCACATCCCTGTTTCTCTCTCTCCTTCCCTCCCTCTCTCTCTCTAAAAAGCAATGGAAAAATATCCTCGGGTGAAGATTAAAAAAAAAAAAAAGACAAAAACCTACATTGAGGGACAGTCTACAAAATAACTGGCCAAGTCTTCACAAGTGTCAAGGTCATGAAAGACAAAGAGGGACCGAGCAGTATTGAATTAAAGGAGACAGAGAGCCATGGCACCAACAGCAACATGTGATCCTGGACTGGATCCTGAACAAGAGACAACTGATACAATCTGAGTCTGTAGGTTAGATAACAAATCATAGCAAAGTTAATTTCCTGACTTTGATAATTATACGCTGGTTATGTAAGATGTTAATATTTGAGAAATCCGGGTGAAGGGTATACAGGAATTTTTTATACTATTTTTGCAACATTTTATAAATCCGAGTTAGTTAAAAATGTAAAAAAAAATGTTTTTTAATGCTCCTTTTCAGATTTAGTCTGAACCAGATCAGCCTATAGCTAACCACCTCATTGGCATCTCTCCAACACTACAGCATGGGTCTCTCGTAGCCCTGTGGGGCCTACCCACCTGAGGTTATCGTCAGCTCCCCCAACCACCACCAAACTGTTCTCAGCCCGAATCTTCTCCCGGAAGTCCTCCATGGCTTCAGGGTGACACTGCAGGGAATTCTGACCAATGACAAAGAGGACTGGAGTCTTCATATCCAAGAGAGGATCATCCACATCCTAAAACAAGTACAGAGCTCACAATCAGCCAGTTTATAGTCACCGAGCACTGCCCTGGCCGGTCCACTCAGGAAGTCAGCTGGGCTGCCGCAGTCACTACACACCAACTTGGGTGACACATGCACTCCCTACTCTCACCTGCCTAGCAATCAATGGTGTCCCATGCTTACCCCTCTGGGGCCATCCACGGTAAGCAGAGGGAACCCAAGGCAGACAACCGCAGTGACATACTCCATCACCGACACCTAGAAATAATGGAACAGTTTGTCTCAAAGGCAATTGCCTTCCTACCCAGAACCAGAGTTGGTCCAGACATACAGCCAGTCCCATCTACTCCTTCCCGTCTCAACCCCCAGGAGTAGCAGCCATGGTGGAAGCAGTAAGAGCACAGAACACAGATGTGCCATTCTACAAGTAGCCACACCTGGAAAACTGGGGCCCTGAGAGGACCCCAGCAGAGGCTGAACCACAGGATTGGAGGTTTAATATTTCCATCCTGTCAATGCCCTAGACTAGAGGCCTCCAGCTCACTCCCCGCCCCATCCACGCTTACCAAAAATACAATCAGGAAAACAAAATGCTGCTCTTCTCCCTTAAGAAAATCTCCCCCTTTTGAACTTAATGGGTAACTCCTAGGTACTCCAATTTCTTAGAGAATTTGCTGTCCTGGGACCAGGGTTACAAGGAGATAGCCTTTTCTCATGGCCTGAGATGTCATATTTCACTAGACCACATTAAGCAGCACAGACTTCGCTTACTTGATCCTCTCGAGAACTGGGGCTCTGGACAAGTCAAGGACACTTATGCAAACTTTTATACATGCAAATAATATGTAAAATAATAAAGGTTCCTTGATGTCTTGGAAATGGGCAGAACATGGACACAACAGCAAATTCCAGAGCTATTAAAAATTTTGCCTGCTAGAATTTTGTTTTGTTTTAGGTGGAAGAATAATGCTTATATTTTGGGGAAAAAAGGAATTTTTTTTCACATGCTGAAATACATATGAATGAAATGATATATTTGGGATTTTCTTCAAAGTATCAGCGGAGAGAAAATGGGCAGGGGTGAGACGAAAAAGCCTAGCTATGAGCTGACCACTGGTAAAGCTGGGTGAGGGCCCAAAGGGTTTACTAAACTAGTCTATTCTCCCTTTAAGTTTCCATTTAAAATTTTCCACAATGAAGCTAAAAGTTTGTCTTTTGCAGTTTAAAATGTAATTATGTAGGTCTGGCACCTAGCACTGTGCCGGAAACATAAAAGAGGACTCCACCATGGCCAGCAGTGATAGCAGCAGCATTCTATCCCAGAACAACCTCCAAATGAGGTCAGAATTACTTACGTGACAGGCCACCAGAGCTCCTGTGTTCCAGCCAATCAAGATAATGGGTTTGTGGGGGAAATGGCTGTGAATCTTTGTGGAAAGAGAAAGAAGAAAAGACAGTTAGACAGGAGGCTAACGACAGTTAGACAGAAGCCCAGAGGCTGGGTGTGCCTCCGTGAACTCAAGTAGGGGCAGGCTCACCTCCAGCACTTTGCTTCTCACGGCCCCAATCATATGCTCAAGACACTGCAGAACGCCTACCCCACTTCCATTGTTCAGCAGGTGGGTGGCTACAGGGATGACCTAAAGGAAGGAAGTGGCAGCCATGCCAGTAAAGGTTAAGTTTCAAGTCTTCTCTCAAATCTGCTTAACCTACCCTAGGTTCCATCAACCCTGGATAAGCACCACTCAAATTCCAAAAGAAAAGACAGTTGGAAAACTCCATATTTAAGTTCATTCATTTTGGCCCCCCGCTGCATTTTGTCTGCTCAATCCTCTAAGACTATATTTCCACCCAAGACAGAGTTCCTTTTGTCCCCACACATACCTTGCCTAAGCAGGAGAGCTGAGACTGCCAGAAGCGGTGGCGGCGCGAGGTGGGAAACGCAGAACTGGAGGGCCCGGAGGAGGCAATGAGAATGAGCGGAGAGCCAGGGAGTTTGCTCTATGGAAAAAGAAAGCCACCAGAGAACCAGGGAGTGAGAGGGTTCCTCCACGAAATCCCAAGTGTCCCCCTACCTTCTTACCCCAACCAATGCTGATCTGCCTATGAAACTCTGTTGAGCATTATACGCAACCAGTTATCAATGAAAAAAGTTAAACAAGCCACTTACTATCCTTTTGCCAAAGTTCTAAGACCAGATTTTAAAATTCCATGGACCATGGTTAAATCCTGAGCCACCCAACTTACTGGTTTGTTATGAGAAAGCACCCCCACAGCAGGGTCCCAGGGCCTCTTCAGCAGGAGGGACAAGGCCTCAGCTCCTGCAGCCCCGGTCTTCGTGTTGGACGACACAAGCATCCGGTCAATCAAGGTAGGGATCTAGAAGCAAGGAAGAACAAAGGTGCTTCCAGTGTGAAGCAGGAGACCTGCTCACCAGCAGCAACCAGGCAGAGCAGAGCTCCACTCTGACCCAGACAGACTTCAACTATGCCTCTCAAACTTCCCTCAGGAACAAAGATACAATTAAGTGGATGGCTGAAAAGTATGCCTCCTGCCATTAAAGGTAAATGGGTACAATCCTTTGGAAAGACACCTGGTGATATGTATCAGGAAACTTAAATTTATTCCTACCCCTTCCCCAAAGGATTCTAATTCCAAGAACCTTTCCTAACAAAATATATCAGAGAGCCCTGGATGGCATGGCTCAATGGTTAGGGCATCAGCCTGTGTACCAAAGGGTCACTGGTTCAATTACCACTCAAGGGCATGTACCTGGGTTGCAGGTCTGATCCCTGTCCCTGGTCAGGGCATGGCCATGTGGGAGGCAACTAGCGGATGTGTCTGTCTCACATCAATGTTTCTCTCTCTCTCCCTTCTTTTTCACTCCCCCTTACGCTCTCTGAAAATCAACAGAAAATATATCCTAACTCCTTGGGTTAAGATTAAAAAATATATGTATGTATATACACACACACACACACACATATATCAGAGATACATGCATGTGTGTACTCACACAGGATGAGGATCACACAAAAGACAAATTCACTCTCAATAACCAAAAAACAGAAACAACCTAAATATATATATGAGAGTAGTTAAGCAAAATTATCTACATAATTCAATATTAAGGGTTAATTCAAAATGTTTTTAAAAATCTGTAGTAACATAAGGAAATAACTTTGCTAAAATGTTAAAGATAAAACAGAAAATGTAAAAATTATCTCTATTCAGAAAAAAACGTTAATATGCCAAAATGTTAACAGTGATCTTTATGGAGTTATGGCCAACAGACACATGAAAATATGCTCAATATCACTAATCATCAGGGAAATGCAAATCAAAACTATAATGAGGTATCACCTCACATCTGTCAGAATGGCTACCATCAATAAATCAACATACAACAGTGTTGGCAAGGATGTGGAGAAAGGGGAACCCTTGTGCACTACTGGTTGATTGTAAACGGTGTAGACGCTATGGAAAACAGTATAAACTACCACATGATCCAGAATTTCCACTTCTGGGTATTTATTCAAAGAAATCCAAAACACTAATTCAAAAAGATAATGCACCCCTATGTTCACTGCAGCATTATTTACAATAGCCAAAATATGGAAGCAACCTAAGTGTCCATCAGTAGACAAACGGATAAAGAATATGTGGTACATACACACAATAGAATATTACTAAGTCATAAAAAGGAAAGAAATCTTGCCATTTGCAAGATAGACCTAGAGGATATTGTGCTGAGTGAAATAAGTCAGTCAGAGAAAGACAAATGCCATATGATTTCACTTATATGTGGAATCTAACAAAACAGAATAAATGAAAAAACTAAACTGAAACAAACTCATAGGTACAGAGAACAAACTGATCGCTAGATGGGTGGAGGATTAGGGGATGGGTGAAAAAGGGGAAGTGATTAAGAAGTACAAGTTGCCAGTTATAAAACAGTAACAGGGATGTCAAGTACAGCATAGAGAACAGAGTCAATAATATCATAATGACTATGTATGCTGTCAGATGGGTAGTATACTAGACTTTTCAGGGTGATCACTTTGAAAGGTATATAAAAGTCTAATCACTACAATGTACACCTGAAACTAATATAATATTGTAGGTCAACTATAATTTTAAAAATAAATAAAAAGTAGTTAACAACAACAAAAAGAATGTGAAGGGCTTACTCTAGGCACAGATAGCCTGAAGTCGAGGGTTCAAGTACGGAAGGAAGATACAAGGCTAGAAACATAGGGCCAAACCAAAAAAAATTTTCACCACCCCCTTTCTTAGTTCCTTTTTTTTTTTTAAACCCTCACCTGAGGATATGATTTTATTGGTTTTAGGAGAGGGGAAGGGAGAAAGAGAAACATGGATATGAGAAAGAAACATCAATCGGTTGTCTCTCATACGTTCCCTGGCTGGGGATTGAACCCGAAACCTAGGTGTGTGCCTTGACCGGAAATCGAACCCACAACCTTTTTGGTGTACGGGACGATGCTCCAACCAACTGAGCCACCGGTGGGGGCCATTTCTTTGTAACTTACTCTATAACTCTAAGCTACTCAACACCTTGAGGCAGAGGATCTGATCTGATTAGACTTTAAAAGCTTTCATGAGGCAGTGGAGTACACCTCTGGAAAAAAAAAAAAAGCCTTGCAACTCACTTTCTGTCAATACAGAATGCTTAGAAATCATTAATCAACAACCAACTTCTCTGTGAGAGCTAAGCTGACCAAGCTTCCCCAGTCTTCCCAGCTTTGCATCTCTCTCAACAGACAATTAAGAGGCTGGGTCTACATCTTCTCTGCTCCCTTCACAAGGGATCTAATGGTGAAAGGGGCTGGGCCAAGAGCAAGATACCATCCACCAACATTTTCATCCAGCAGGTAACACTAAAAGTTCCGGGAAACAAGCAAAATATTTCTTGTGAATATGACAGTCATGGGAAAACAAGAGTCTGATGGAACTACTGCTGAAAGCACAGCCTGGCGTGGACAGCACCTCAGTCTGGGGCCCTCACTGACTGGTACTAGAGTGTCCTTCCTAGCCATTCCTGCTAGTCCACATGGTGACCTGGCCGCAGCAACTGTGCACACCTGTGGAGTCCCCCCAGAGGTCTGTCACGCTCATAAAACCTGGACACCACTTCATTCACTTGGGAATGTTCAGACTGTAACTTAAATAAGGAAGCAATGCAAACTTCCTTACAAGGGGGAATTACACTGCAGTCGTGCTGGCCATGCAGAGTAAGGCAGGCACTAGCAAGTGGGATCCTGGCGCTACCAGCACTCTCGTCGTGGAGCAGGCGCCAGTGTTACACCTTTTACATGGGTAGAGTCTGTGAAGAACATTTCAAATGCCTGAAATACTCTTAGGCTGCCCCTCTCTTCTGGGTCCCATCTTGTCCCCACCCCCCACCCACCATTCACCTTCTGGGCCCAGGTTTCTACTGTGGAGCAGCAGCAGCAGCAGCAAAGGGGACGGCTAGAGCTACCTTTCCATTTGTCTCTTTCTCCACTAGAAAAGAGAGTCTATCAGAGTAGGGGGCATTTCTGGTTTGCCCACCCCAGTGCCTGACATATTATAGGCACAAAATAAATTACTTGTTGAATAAATTACTATCAAATTTCCTACCAGGAATATCATTATTGCATCTAGTCCTGAATTTTATTTCTGCACTAAAACAGTCTGCTTTTGCTCTCAAACTCATCCTCCTTCTACTGAAAAGCAGATAGAAAACAATGAACCTGAAAATTTGGGGGTAGTACTGGGGGAAGCTGTTGGCCAGGCAAATAATAGCAACGAAATGGGCCAGCTTTCCACAAAGAAGAAAGAAAAACTTAAGGGGAAAAAAAGTCAAGAACTGAATTAATCCAAGCTGTCTGAGGCTACTTTGGAAAGGAGTAAAATGCTCTAAAAATTTCAAGAACCTATAAGCTTATATAATTGTTAACAGTCGCTGTGGGCTTACTTGGCCAAATTTTGTGCCAAGTACTTTATATGGATTAACTAATTTAATTTTCATAGAAACCTTAGATAGATATTATTATTGGCCATGTATTAGAGATGAGGAAAGTGAGACACTAATCCAAGATGAAATAGTTCACTAGTGATTGCGATGAGATGAGCCAGGCAGTATGCCCCAGAACTGGTTCTCTACCACACTGAACACAGTCCAGGGCAGTACCTGAAATCACAAGAAACTGGAATCATGAAAACAAAACAGTTTAACTTTGTGCAATACTGTCCCAGTGAGAAAGCAGAAAAATGTAGATATGCTTTATAGAGAATTATTAAAGTCAAAGTGTTGCTACTGGAGGCTCAGCCCATAATGAGGAGAGACTGAGTCATGAATGCCCCTCCCTGCTCTGGACACCTCCCCATCTCCCACCCTTGCACTCTGAGTTCATGGGTCTGCTTCTGGTCCCTTCTCAACACTCTTGCCTAGTAAACCCTTCATCTTCTCTGTAATAATTCAATTCTTTTCTCACCTCACCTCAGAGGTGACTCAAACCACAAGCTGCAGGGCTGGAGAGGTTACAAGTGTACTATGGTTTTCAAGCTCACACTTCATCCTGGAGCCAGCATGGTTGAAGACGTTTACACCAGACGAAAATGTGAAATGATACCATGTCTCCTATTTTAATAGCAAACCTGGCAGATTCAGTCATGCCCTCCTGCTAACCAAGCAATGACCTTGGCGACCCCACTTCCTGAACCCACAGCAAAGGCAGACGCCAATCATAGCCTTACCTTCCCTTTCAGTGTCTGCAAAGCATCCAGGTAGGCCGCCAGCATGGGTAGACTCAAGGTCTCCACTAGGGTGGTATGCAGCCACTGGATCAGCTTGGTGTCCCAGCTCACACTTGCCAGGGCCTGCCGCACTCTCCTCGCACACTTGTCCACTGCAACGCGACGTAGCACTGGCTCATTGCAAGCCTGAAAGATGGATATGGACCAATAAAACATGAGGTCCACCTTGTCAGCAATGGGGGAGGGGGACACACTGTGGGCAGCTTTCTGGAGTCTCACCCCTTCGTTGGCCAAGCGGGCAAGCCGGTCAGACTGCAGAGCTTTGAGGATCTTGTTGAATAGCTTGTTCTGGGCCATTGTCCAGCCCGTTCTGTAAGGGAAGCTCCGAGGAATTAAAGTCAACCCTGGGAACACTCCATGCATGTACACTGTACAAGGATTATGGCATGTCTTGTGTTCCCACTTAGGAATAGCATACCTTGAAGTAGCTCTGCCTAAGTCCATGGAGCTAAAGCACAAGACCGAGATTCTGGTCCCAGTCCTGCCAATGAGCCACCTCAGCATACACTCGTATTAATAAATACACTACAAGTCAAGTCAGTCATGATGAAGTCTTTTTAGTGCTAGCCAAGCTAATTATTTACCTAGTGGCTAAAATAATCCACGGTTAAATAAAAGCATAGCTCCATTGCACAGACACATTTGAATTTCACAAGATTAGTATTTCACACAAAAAGGCACACAAGATGAGCAAGCATTTTAGTGTACTAGAACCCCATACTAAGATAAAAAGCCTATTTATATTAGCTTCAGGAATAGAAATATAACAAGTGAAGTGGCTATTCTCCCACCTTTCTCCCTTTTCCACCATGTATTTTTTTTCTTTCTGTATATCACCCAATTAACAAATTTAATTTTTAACGTCTGCACCATGTGAGTTAACACTGCATCATCTCAGCACAGGACACAGGCATACACTTCTATCCTGCTTGTGGATGGCGGAATGTGCCCTCCTCGAACTCAGCTGTGAACCCCTGCAATTAGAAACCCATCCCACTGCCCTGCCCCCACCTGTCATACCCTGTACAGTGAAGTGGAACTTACTGAAGTCCCCCTCCACTCCACTCCTATCAATCTTAATTACTCTGAGACCCCAACACTGGGCAGTAATCTTCCTAAAGACACTGAGAGAAAGGTAATAGAAGATGCCCAATTAGTATTTGTTTACCAAATCTCCCAGCCATAAAATAAATTAGTAATAAGATTACCTTTAAAAAAAATTTTAAGTAGGTGCCAGACCCAAATGAGAAGCTGGAACAAGACCAAGGTAGCAGTTCAAACCAGCGGGGATAAAGGAAGTGGGGCCAAGACAATAAGTAACCGAATAGGAAAAGAAACCCTGGGCCCCTACAAAATAAATTTCAAGTGGAATAAAAAGTTAAATATCAAAAAATAAAATTACCAAAATACTAGAAGAAAGAGTGATATCTACCTACCTACCTATCATCTATCTTAGAGTAAGTAAGGCCTTAAGTGTGACCTAAAACCTAGAAGCCATGAAAGAAAGACAAATGTAACTACATAAGTATTTCAAACTTCTATGAAAGAAAAAAATGACAAATCATAAACAAAGTCAAAACACCTGCCATTTCATTAAAATAGAAAAAGCCACTAGAAAATTAAGAAAAAAACAACTCAACTCAAAACAAAAACCGGACAAAGAACATGAAAAGGCAGTTCACACACAAAAAGTATAGTCAACCCTGTTCAAAATCAAATATGCAAATTAAAATATTATTTTTCACCTATCAAATGGGTAAAAATTAAGAAGTTTAATATTACTCTGTGTTGTGAGGATGTAAGAAGATAGGTGTCTCCTTACTTTGCTGATGGAAATATAAATTAGTACAACCTTTTGGAAAGTCAATTTGGAAAATCACTTTTGGAAAGAAATCTATCAACAAACCTAAGTCAGATCATGTCCCTCTGCTCAAAGCCCTTCAGTGGCCACGTATCAATCTGCTAAAAGTCAAAATCATTGCCAGGCTGTCTGGACCCCACTCCCCGCCTCCCAAGTCCCAAATCTCTGAATATCAAACTACAACCAAGCCTGACCGGATCCTGATGAAGCAGCAGGAACAAGCCACACTGTCATCCACAACAGCCCGACTTCTGAGCTTCGCCACACTGCACCCCCAAACCCAGTTCTGCATGTTCCCAAATCACAGCCAGGCCCCGGTCATCCCTTCCCTCCAGGGAACAATGGCTCCCTTTCCACCTCCTTCAGGTCATTGCTCAGATGTCAACCTCTACTGTGGCTTCCCTGGCTCACCTCTATTTATAAAACTGTCAATACCCCACTTCCACCCCGCTTCCCTATCCCGATTCCAGCCATACCATCATCTCACGTCTATCTGTTTTATTTATTTCTTTAGTCTGTCTCCCTCTGCAAGAATGTAAAGGCCAAGATGGCTGGGGCTTTTGTTGGTTTTGTTTAAGTGGTAGATTCCCAGCATGCAAAACAGTATCTGACACACTGCAGGGACTTGACATCTGCTGAATAAATAAATGGATAAACTGTGTGCATATGACATTCTACGTCCTATAAACAGCTGAGGGCAAACTCAAACCCTCACCACACTTAGCCCTTGGGGACTGAGCTGCAGAAGACACTGAAACATGACTTAGGTGCAACTAACTTGAGCCTTTCAGCATCGCAGGGTGGCCAAACAACTTCAATGCCTCTTACTTTACAACAGACCAGCATCCTTCCCATCACACCCCACCAGAAGGTACCTACTTTCCACGACTCATCTAAGAACACCAGTAACGTGGTGCAGTCACCATGAAGAGGGAGGATAAACTACCCTTTGCAATTCACTTTGCACAGCTGTCCCACTGACCTTGGAAAAAGTAAATACCCTCTAGAAAGCAGGAAAATATGGCCCAACTTCCTTTTCTTCAGTAAAATAAAATCTCACCCTCATTTTGCAACTGATCAGAGTTATACAGTCCAGAAGAACACTCACTCTAACCAGCTCTGCAGTGAAGAGCCAGATGTGTGCCTCAGCCTCGACTGTGAAACAGACATGGATGTCTACAGTTCCTCTAGCAATAAAAACTCTGGTGAGCTGATTACCGATGGAAGCAAAAGCTGTAAGAGAGCAGCTGAAGTCCATGATCAGAGAATTCTTCAGCTTTCCTTGCTCCACTAAATCCTTTCTCAACCTCCAAACCTTCCACCCTTCATGGGGACCAGAAGCAGTCTTGGGTTTCTGAGAATTGTCTTTTTTCTTATTTTCCCCTAGTTCTCTTGGCTTATTCCTGCTACCTCATCAGGATCCAGTCAGGTTTGGTTGTAGTTTGATATTCAGAGATTTTGGACTTGGGAGGCAGGGAGTGGAAGCTTCAATTCAAGTGTTGGGACTCAGGACACCCTGGATCCAGGAAGGCTTATGGGAATCAGCTGGTTCACATTACTTAAAAGCACAAAACACATGAGTAGCATCTCTCTGGGCTTGGGGATCTGGTGGTAGGGGAGGAGACAGGATATTCACAAACAGTTTAAAAAGCTCTCTGGAGCCCGGCCAGCATGGCTCAGCAGTTGAGCATCGACCTATGATCCAGGAGATAGCAGTTCGATTCCCAGTCAGGGCACATGCCTGGGTTGCAGGCTTGATCCCCAGAAGGGGGCGTGCAGGAGGCAGCCAATGAATGACTCTCTCTCTCATCATTGATGTTTCTATCTCCCTTTCTCCATCTCCCTTCCTCTCTCTGAAATCAGTAAAAACATATTTTAAAAAAAAATAAAAAAATAAAAAGCTCTCTGGAGATACATGGATTTATTTCCATATTAACATACCTCTTTGTTTTTACTGGCTGGTTTTGCCCTATTGGTGGGCATTTAGGTTGTGTCCCTTTTACTGCTCTTATAAGCAGCTGCAGGAATCACCCCTCCTTTCCCCACAACACACACATGCACACATCTATCTCCAACTTTATGTGGCTGTGGGAGTATCTCTGAAGGATAAATTTCTTGACGTGGAAATGAAAGATCAAAGGCTATCTATGTTAAAATTTTTGAATTTCTAGTTCTGTGAAAATATGTGTAAAGAACTTGTGACATCTTGAAAGGGGTATTACACTGCAGCCTTACCCCCAGCAATAATGCTCATTTGTAGGTTAGACAGCAATACAATTCCTTCATGTTCAACAATCTCTTAAGCTTTCTCAAAGCCTATTGATTATGTTGCAAACTTTAATTTCAAAGACAGCAAGTGAAAAGGCATAATTTATGAGGCCCCAACAGCATTTCCAAAATTATCCTGTTCTTTATTATGTAACAGGCTGTTTTCTCCATTTGTTTTTCTTACTCTATATTTATTCTGAATCCCAAAATGATGGCACCAAGGAAAATGATGTGAACAAAATGGGGAGGGGTGAGAAAGCTATTTAGAAATTACTCCTATACATCAATGACAACTAAAATTAAATTAACAAACCACAATGTTGGGAGTCTAAAATCCCTGAAAAAGTCTTAGTATTATTGCTGGATATACAAAAAAGTGTCAGCTTTGTGGAAGGCTGGAAAATTAAGTGGGTGGGGAAAAAAAAGATCTAACCTAAGATTAAGATAAAGAGCATGCAAAAGATATAATTAAGGAAAATTTTAAAAACAGGAGACATTATTTTAAATACATGTCTAAACAGTCAAATAGCTGATGGGAACTGTAGTGAGTCAACCCAGTCCCCCCACCTAAACCTATTCCATTTTCATGAGTATAGAAACACCTAGTCTCCTTTTCTTAGAAAAGATCAGATAACCTCATGGTCCCCATGCTCTGACTGATCCTGAATGATGTGACCTCTGGTTCATCTTATCCAAAGCAGCCAAAAAGTCTCATCGGTGCTAGAAAAGCCTAACATTTTTAAAGGTAATTATTCTTTCTCTGATAGAGACTAATTTTCCAAGGGAGACAAATTCAATATTAAAATGTTTAAAGAACTTTTTTTAAAACCAGAAGTCAAACAGAAAGAGACAAAGAACATCCAGAGAGATGAAATAGGTCACACTTACTTTTCCAGATTATAAAATTTTTACTTAAACATAAGGAGAAAGGAAGGAAAGAATGAAGAGGAAAGAGAGACAGGGAGGGAGAGAATGGGAAGGGAAATAAACAACACAAAGATCTTAGACTCAAAATTTCAAACATTGATTAGAGCAAATTTAGAAAAGGAGAATGGTTTTCTTTTGGCTGAATTCAGGGAAGTTTTGATTTCTAAGATAAGAAAACCTGCTTTAGGACACTAGATTCTTTTACTGAAATACTGGAAATGTCCTAAAATCCATTTGAGCAATGCTGAGACATATCATGTATCAAGTATTTTATTGAATGTCTTTCAAAAACTGTGCATCTAATTAAACTTGACATTTGAAAAACATTGGGGGGGGGCGGGAGCTGATCCAACTTCTTCAGGACAACATTACCACCCCAGCAAAATGTAAATCATTTTCAAAGTTCTTCAAGTCACACAACTTTGGCATGCAGACACAGAAACAGGATCTAGACTGGAGGCCAGCAAACCTTTTTTATAATCGACTAGAGAGTAAATATTTGAGTCTGTACATCATATGGTCTGTCACAACTATTCAACTCTGTGGTCATAATGCAAAAGTAGCCATGGACAATACGTAAAAGAATGGGCATGACTGGTCCAATAAAACTGCACTTATAGACAATCACATTTGAATTTCACGTGTTTTCTTTTGATTTTAACCACTTAAAAATGTGAAAACCATTCTTAGTTCATGGGCTGTTGTAAAAACAAGCACTGGGCCCCATGTAGTGCCTGGGCCCTGGCTTGCTAACCCTGATCTAGACAATTCAATCAGTCAGAGAAGAGATTTAAACTGTTTCACAAAATCTCAGGCATTACTAAAGAAAGTCAGAGTCAGTTGGGGGGGGGGGGGCTTCATTTTCTATACACAGAAAGTTATCTGAGGGCAGTTACTATTGAAATAATTCAAGAGGGGAAAGCAGGGCACTAACAAAGAAAATTAAGTTTCTGACTCCACTGAAAGATCTCTGAGGAAAAACAAATTTCTGGTCCCATAGCCCATGAGTTTTTTAATATGGGAAACTGTAATTTTACATGATTTTATACAGGAAGAAAAGAAGCAGCAATTTAACAATTAAGTCAAGGGAAAGAATGGCAACAAGATGATTACAATCAGAGCAGAGGGAACTACTGCAAGTTCCAAACAGGTTACGGATCCAGAGTTCCAGAGTTCGGGGATAAGGTCATAAAATGGTGACCTCTGAAAGTGAAGCCAGTAAGTAGCATCAAATAATAAAATTAGCTGTGTGCAAAAGTGACCTACCTGAAGAGATGGTTTGTAAGCCTGTTGCTAATGAGAAGGACGCCTCCAAAATCTCATCAGACACTAAAAAACAAATAATCTGAGATAAACTGAGCGCTAATTAACCATATCAATCTATGGTAATGTCATAACAGAAGGATGGAGGTCCCCATGGAGAAAAACAAGGCAAAGGCAAGAATCTGTCAGTATTTCTCTGCAGGGCTGGGCAGGTGAAGGTGTGCCCTGCCTACTCTGTAAGCCCTTCTTACTTTGAGGAAAGATGGGTACATCCAGCTACCTTGCTGAATGAGGCCTCCAGAGCAGACTCTGCACTTGCCATCTACTCTGGAATAAAAGGGCTTCCCAGGCTCTCCTACTGAGAATCGGTGCTCTGGCCAGGTCAACCCGTGTCCCATCTGCCTTACAGTTTGTTGTATCTGTCCTTGTAAATTAAGAAACTGGTATTCATATGTATTATTAAGTCTCTGATGACTTTGGTAAGTATAAAAAGTTCTCCCAAACCTCCTGATCATGTCCAGGGGTGAACTGATAAAAAACTTCATGCAGTTCTCCCACGCAGTTTCTGAAACTGCACACTGAGGACACCACAAAGGGACATATACGTGTGGGGTCACCTTGTTCACCACTGACTGCCCTGTTTACTGCCCTTAAAAAGAGGGTAGAGTAGCCGAGAACACTGGGCTCTGGAGGTGGACTGCCTGCTCTGAACAAGTCCCTGCTCCATCACTTCCTAACTAAGATTTCTCAGCCATCCTGAGCTCAGTTTCTCCATCCTGTGAAACAGAGATGAAGAAGGGATATACCTGGAAGAGTTGCTGTGAGGATTAAGAGATCATGGACATGAAGCACTTGGCACAATGCCTGGCACCTAGAAAGCACTTGACAAATGGTAGTTCTTTTTTGTTACTACCACTGTCACTATTTTTTATTATTAACTGCAACAACAACGATAAACCATTTTGCTGAATTCACTGACTCTGGTAATATCCCAGCAGTTATCTTCACTCATAGCAGTTTTCCTCTTTATCCGAAGCTCTGGAGAGCATTTCCCCTTCTTAGGGCACAGCGTTAATTCCAATTCAAGACCCCAAACAACTTCTCCACAAGCTCTTCAAAGTGCAGAGCTGCTCCTCCTCTAACAGCTCCCACCTTGATCACACAAGCATACCTGTTCAGCCTCATTCCCGGCTTCCAACCAGACTTATAAATTGTGACAACTGCCTCAAACGTTCCTACCCTTCTTCCTACAAAGTGTCCCCTTTCTCTCCCATTATGATAAAATAAGATCTCTCTAACATTACGGTAAGTGCCCCAGCTACCAACTCCTGTGTAAAGATTTTAATATTCCCTTACACATGGCAGATAGACAGAGAGCCATGAGGGACATGCAAATTAAAACCACAATACGATGTCACTTCACAACCTCTAGAATGGTCATAATAAAGACAGATAATAAATGTTGGCAAAGCTGTAGAGAAATTAGAACTCTCTTACACTGCTGGTGGGAGCATAAAATGGTGTAGTCCCCTTGAAAATCAGTCTAGAAAGTCCTCAAAAGTTAAATATGGAGTTACCATATGACCCAGCCATCCTACTCCTAGGTAAGTATGCAAGAGAACGGAAAACATATGGCCACACAAAAACAAGTACATGAATATTCACAGCAGCATATTCGTAACAGCTAGAAAGCGTTAGCAATCCAAATACCCATCAACAGATGAATGGATAAACAAAATGTGGTAAAACCATACAATGGAATATCACTTGGCAATAAAAAGGAATCAAGTACTGACTCACGCTACAACATGCATGAACCTTGAAAACATTACACTGAGAGAAGCCAGACACAAAAGTCACATATTGTATGATTCCATTTATATAAAATGTTCAGAATAGGCAAACTTAGGGAGACAGAAAAGAAATTAGTGGTTGCCAGAGGCTGGAGGGGTTGGGAGGAAATGGGAAGTGACTGTTAATGAAGTTCCTTTTTGGGGTGCTGAAAATGTTCACTAAGTTGATTGTGGTGATGAAATACTAAAATGTACACATAAAATAGGTGAGCTGTATGGTATATCAGTTTTATCTTCATAAGGTTGTTATGCAATAAGCAAAAGACAAATGTTCACCAAATGAACAATGACAAATGACCTGGAGAGGACTATGGGGTCCCTGGGTCAGTAGGAAGTGTGGTAACAAGACAGCAGACTCATGACAATGGGTTACAGTATTCCCTCAAAACCGCAGACTGAAAATCTACATTAAAAATCCACTCAAATCAAACGTCTGTTAGCTTTTCATGTGACTCCAAAATATTTCATGACCCTAGCTGTAGACCATATAAAACAGTATCTTACAAATGTACACTTATTTAATGTTTTTAGGGGGTTGTTTTCTTAGAGTCTGGATAACTCCCATATCAGATCTTGTACTATATAAGCAATAGAGTTAGTCATACCTATCAAATTTAATTCATTTACTTATTTGATAAACATTTATCATATGCCTACTATGTGCCAGGCAGTGTCCTAGGTGTCAGGGATGCAAAGATGGCTGAAATGCAAGCCCTCCTCTCAAGAAGCTCACTGCACAGTGAGCTGAGACTTACAATGCAGAGTTAGAAGAACAGGGGTGTGCCTGCAAATGAAATAAACGCCTAAATAAATGTGTTTCAATGCAGATGATGATACAAAATATTTACAGTGCAGTGAGCATTAACCCTGTAGTAACCAGTCCTCCTGAGGAGTGGCCTACCTGTTGACATGCTCCTCCCAGTCCTCTGGTGGGGGAGGGGCATCTGCATCAGTCCTGGCAAAGATGACATGCCGTTCGCACTCATTCATCACGCTGCGTGCCTTCTGATTGTCATAGAGTGGCATGGGGGTTGATGTGACTGTCTCCACATCTATTGGGACGTCTGATTCACTGTAAACAGGTGAGAAGATAGGACCAGGCCACATGCACTGTACACAACACAGGCATTTAACAATCATCTGGTTGCCAAAAATGTCTCTTTGATATAATCAACTTTAAAGTATGCACAAGTACATTATATCCACAAGAAAATTATGGTCCAAACTTATCTTTCCCACATCTCTGCCCTCTATATGCTAAGGAACATAAAGTCATTTTATTTTTTTTATAATCCTCATCTGAGGATATTTTTTCCATTGTTTTTCAGAGGGTGGGAGAGAGAGAAACATCAATGCAAGAGAGACACACTGATTGGCTGCCTCCCGCACAAGCCCCAACCAGGGCCGGGGACTGAGCCTGCAACCGAGGTACGTGCCATTGGCCGGAATCAAACCCGGGACCCTTCAGTCCGCAGGCTAACACTCTAACTGAGCCAAACCAGCTAGGGCCATAAAGTCATTTTCAAACAACTGTATGCAAAAAATGACAGCTATTTTTTAAAAAACACACAAATATATTCCATAAGCAAGTAACTCATTGCTTTCCAATGCAACAGCTATAGGCCACATGCAACTATTTAAATTAAGAAAAATTACACAGAATTAAAAATTCAGTTTCTCAATCACACTAGCCGCATTTCAAGTGCACAACGAACATATGTGGGTGGTGGCTATCGTATCGAGTGCACAGGTATGGAGCATTTCTCTCATTGCAGAAAGTTCTGTTGGACAGTATTGATTCTGACTTTTAACTATTCATACAAACTTTCCCTTTCACTAGCAAGTCAACTGGTAGTTAACAATATATTGTAAAAGCCTATGATTGTCTAAGACAGAGCACCTGGAATACAGACACCTCAGCTATTTAACTCACTGTGAAAAGGGCCTAGAACAGAAACAAACAGAAATGGACATCTAAAGAATCATATTTTAAAATGTTGTTAAAGAAATCCTAGAACCATAAAGGTCCTTCACAGCACCAACTGTCACCCCAAATACTATGCCAATCAAACTGATCTACCGGTTGTCTACCAGACATCACTTTAACTTTCTGACCTCGGTGATTTTACTGCATCTATTACCAATGGCTGGAATAATTACATCATTCTGAAATGAAGTGAAATCATGTGCAGCTAGATTGGGTGGTAGGTGAAAGAGCTGATGATCTTCTCTGGACCAGACACTGGATGAGGCACTTACTATGTGCCTAAAAGAGAACTTTTGATTTCATCATTCCAACATATCCTCCCTGAGTTTTCCCCAACTCATGGCACCACCCAGCTGCTTAAGCCAGAAATCTAAGAGTCATCCTAATTTCATTTCACCTTGTCCCTTAATTCTGGCCCCTTTCCAACTCACCACAGCAGGTCCTGTTGACTTTATCTACAAAATAAATCTCAAGGCCATTCACTTTTCTCCATCTGTACTACTGCTGCCCCTATCCAAGTTATCACAATCTCTGGCCCCCCCTACTGCAATGGCCTCCTAGCAGGTCTTCTCTATCCCACTCGTGCAGTATAATCTTATTCAACAAAAATTCAAAGTGATCTTTTAAAAGTATAAATCCAACTTCTCCCCTAGCTCCCACTTATATCCCCATTGCAACCATACTCCAGACACAATGGCCTAAAATGAGTTCGTAGAACATGCCAAACTCCCACTTTCAAGACCTATATGTAGAGACAGTTTATAAGAGGAAATAATTTCTAAGGACTGAAATAGCCAAATCCACCGAATCTCACTTTTTTTTTTTTTTTTAATATATCTTTATTGACTTCAGAGAGAGGAGAGGAGAGAGAGAGATAGAAACATCAATGATGAGAGAGTCATTGATCGGCTGCAGCCCACAACCCGGGAATGTGCCCTGACCGGGAATCGAACCCTGATCACCTGGATCCCAGGTCAATGCTCAACCACCGAGCCATGCCCGGCTGGGCCACAGAATCTTACTTTAAAAAAATATGAGATACAAACACAGGAGTTTCAATGTTAGCAAGCAGCTATTAAATAACTAGAAAAAAGAGAGAAAGACTTCGAACTCTATTTAAAGGAGCTCATCAGTTATGCCCTAGGCCAGACGCATCAGGATTATGCTGAATAATTCCCTAAAGTCAGAGATCCTGTGCCCTGCACAACAAAAAAAAAGCCAACAAAGTACTGCTGTCCTTAGGAAATGAAATAAAAAACACTACTCTTTAAAACACATATCATAGTAACTCTAGCTCAATAAGGCTCAATGGGACATCTAAAGAAGCAAAATACAAGATCTCTATTCCCCAACAAACCTAAAACCTGTGCTAGAGGGAAGTTTAAACATTAGGTCAAATTAAAACAAACAAACAAAGCCCTGACCACCGGGTAGCTCAGTTGGTTACAGCATCCTCCCGATACACCAAGGTTTTGGGTTTGATTCCCTGTCAGGGTGCATACAAGAATCAACCGATGAACGCATAAATAAGTGAAACAATAAATCAATGTTTCTCTCTCTCCCTTCCTCTCTCTCTCAAATCAATAAGTAAAATTAAACAAACAAACAAACAAACAAACCTCCTCTCCAAAACAGTCTATAAAATTACTAAGGGCGTGATTTGGTCATCAAAATGTATCAACAAATCTTGAAATATAATTAGAACACCTTTAAAGCTCAAAAGAATTACTAAACAGGTTTAAGTCAAATGTAATTGTATCATCTATTACATACTAAATTTATGAAAAAAATTCCTTACCCAATAATTAGGCCAGCTGAAAATACAATCAGACCTAGAAGGGTTAAGATCAACCATGGTGACAGTTCCGAAACAAGCTAAGGTCTTGGGAATATACTCCTAAACTTTTTGGGTGAAGTCAGGAATAGGTTATTGTTGCCAGTGTTTGGACAAGCCAGAACACTGGACTGAAGGAATGAGTCTAATCATGTGTGGCAGTTTTTAAGTCAACTACTCTTCAGTCTTTTTCTTCACCCATTAAATAATCCTCTTCCATTTCATTTCCTCTTTCCAATATCAAGTCCTATTACCTAAATGGAATAGGCTGTTTACTTTTTTTTGAACATCTTGGTTTGTCTTGAATGTCAGATGTCTTGAATGTTGATATCCTCACACTGCTTACCAGGCCCCCCACTACCCCCACAGTAAAGTCCTCTGGAATCCCACCTGACCACTGCCCAGTTAGGGCAACCAGAGCCCTTAGGAGAGGAACCCAAACTCACATGGTACTTTCATGCTGCCTCCGAGGAGTAACGAAGAGCATGCGGGTGGGCCGGGCACTACTGGCATCTGGGTGGGCACTCCATGGCTTAGCATAGCTATGATCCAGAAAAACCAGATCCAGCTCCCGTTCGTGCACTGAAAGCTGGAAGAGCAGTGAGGTGCCCATGCGCCGCGCTGAAGACTGGAAGTCCCTCTCCACACCCCGGTGGGCCATGTCAGTGGGGGGGCAGCCAGTCAGAGAACTGCTGTCTGCATGCTAGCCACCTGCATGGAAAGTTTGTCAATTCAAATATTCCAAATTTCCCCCAACCTGTAACATCCCCAATGCTTCTTACTTTTGTGACCTTCCATCACTTATACTTGAGAATTGGGTACACTGCGCACCCTCAGCCGCCCACTATAGGGAGGGTTCCTGAGGTCCCATTCCACCCTCGGGAAAGGCTCTCGCACAAGTTTCTCTACACTCAATCTCTACAAAACTCGTTCATGGAGAGCGGAGTGACTCCACTGGTCGCAAAGGCCTCCCTCCGACAGATGCTAACTTGCTTGCCCAGCGCCTCAGTTTCCTGTGTGGGCCAGAAGGGATCTGGCGAACAACACGAATCCCAAGGTTTAATTCTTCCCACGCTAAGTAGGGGTCTCCACCGCTCCTCGCCCTCCCTGCGGCTGCACCGGCAGCCCAGCACCAGCGGGGCGACAGGAGCCTCACGGGGGCCTCTGAAGTCTCTTGTTCTAAGTCAAATAAAAGTTTTGCAACGGCTTCATAATACGCTGGAGTTTTTACACGTACAAACGAGGGCTCCTTCGCGAAGCCGGTAACAAAACGCCACCCCAGGAGGACCTCTTCCATTCCCGGGGTGGGCGGTCCCGGCAAACCACCCCCGGGGGTCTCGCCACAGAACCTCCAAACCGCCCCATCCAGTAGGCGGGGCTTATCGTTCGCACTTCACAGGTGAAGACGCCGGTTCAGAGGGGAAGAAGCGACTAGGCCAAGGTCACCGAGAGTTCGTGACCAAGAGGCGCCGCCTCGCACCC